TGATGAAGTCAAGAATGTGATTAACTTGGTCATTTGAACATTGATTTGATTTGCTAATTGTTTTTGATAGTAAATATTTCGATTTTTTTGTATTGTTTCCCATGAAAAATCATCACCGTCAGCAAATAAATCTAAACACTTCATAAGAATATCTTAATAAAAAAAGGTAAGATCTTACTCGGATTCGCCCAGTCTAATTCGAGATCAGTGTCATAATCTTCAGGAAGTGATGAAGCACGTGACGAATCGACATTTAAAACCGTAGTTCGTTGTTGTAATGGCCCATTGACAGCCTAAATATATTCAATCATTCAAAATATCCTATTCAACATGCGCCAAGTCCGAGGATTTCTTACGCTCAGAAGATTAGTCGCACATCGTAAAAGATCAGTCGATGTTGTTTGAACATCTTCAAAAGGTATTCTTGTTTTCATTGAGTTTAAAGTTATTCCTAATTGATAACATCGATCCGATGCTATTGTCTAAAGTTGGATATCATATAACATGAAGAAAATTCGAATGATCAGAATCTTACTAGAGTTGTTCGTGTTAATTCATTGATTGATTTTGTTAACTGTACCAACGATGATGCTTGCAATTTTATACTATTCGACGTTGTTATAGGAAGTTCTGATGTAAATGCAATAAGATATTCTCGAGAAACTGCACGAGAATTTAAGTCAGTTTGTAATTCATCTATAACCGATTGATTTACTGGTAAGGATACGATTTGTTGTCCGCTATGCTGTGCTTCTAACGATGAAATGGATATGCTTGTAATTGGAATACCATCTAAGAAAAGACGAATTAGAAGCAAATCTCATTTTAATTATGTAGAAATTTACATGAAACAGCTCGATCAAGACTTTCATCATTCATCTGATTGAGTTGTTGAGAAACTGAGGTCAATACTTGTCCAACTAAGTTTTGATTTCCACTTGCAAGTAACTGTATAATCGAATTTGTTGTACTCCTGTTCGATGAACTCTGAATATCGTTTATTAGATTTGTAACTGCTATCGTATCTGATATGACACTAACTGATGAAAGATTCAGTACAGTAGTGCAATCCATTTGATCACGAATGTAAACAGTTAAATGCAGCAATGTTGTTTGATTATTTCCAGCTGGTAATAGAACTTGGAACATTGGAACTGTAGAATAAGCAATAATCATTTGCTCTGTTGGATCCTTGTCCCAAGCTAAACGGAGAAAAAGAGAGAGAGAGAGAGAAATGTGTGTTTACATACCATAAATAGTATAATCTTTGATTCCGTCTTCATCAAACCAATCTAAACATGAAATATTGAATGGAGTACTTGTTGTACCATTGAGAGGACTGATTGAACATGATCCATTGAACGGGAGTTGATTAATAAGAAAATTTAATGAACTTGTAGTGATTCTCGATGGAAATGAATAGATAACTTCAAAACTCCAATATTGTATTTGTGGATTTTGAAGAAACAAGTCAATGGTACTTGTTGAATTACTTGTATTCATACCTGAAATGTCCAATAGGTAAATTCGTGATTAATCATGTAGATACGCACCGAAAAACCAGATATTTTCCTTAGAAAGTGTTGAATTGAATTGAGTCCACTGAATAGTATTCGAAGATGAATTCAACGAACCTTCATAGATATTCCATTTTACATTCAATAATGATGAACAATCACCATTACACACACTAAACAGAGCTACTTGTGTCGTTGGATTGACAGATTGATACTCCATATTTGGTTTACACATCGTTGAAACGACACATCCCATGTCAATTATTTGAACAGTCTGGTCTTGAATTTTTACGAGCAAATAACCCGTAGCGTAAATACTAGGATTTTCTCGATTGACCATATTGACCATGAACTGATAGGTTTGATTGGACGCCAGTGATCTCGCCAGAATGCTTACGGCCGATTTCGAAGAGACAGTAGAGTCGTATTTCCATGCCGTTTCGTTACCTAAACACAAATTAATAGTAGCGAAGACGAGAACAAACTATACCTGATCTATTGGAAAAGCAGGATGAACTCAGAGAATTTATTCGAGGAACGGCAAAAGGTAATTGCGT